TTCTCAGTTCAGCCCCAAAAACAGAACCTAACTAGCTGCTCAATGAGCTACGGACCTCCGACATGGCTCCCATTGGGGAGGCGAGTGTGGCATCACCAGCTGAATCATGGGGCATTTCAGAACAGCTTTAAATAGTTGAGCTCCGGCTTGGTCAGTGGAATCGATCACATCTTTGGCAGCCGTTAGAGAACATCTGAGAAGATGGTGACTAACAGACATCCCATTAATCAACCTGTGCGCGCTGATGCGTCCTGTGCACAAATGTAGAAGCAGCATGGTAATGAGGCCATTGCACAAAGTCATCTATCTGACTCCCATCTAGCCACACTAATCACTGACGTGGACAGACAGCAGGTGTGGAGCAGACGGGGTATTAAGCGTATTAAGGTCCGCTGTCCAAGCTAACGCTCTGTTTAATTAAAATCCTATCTAGTCTGGTACTGTGCAAGTTGTTTCATTGAATTTTTAGTTTATAAATCCAACACTGTTAGTCAATGTCATTGTCCTGGAGTGTAACATAACAGTCCTATGACGCATACAATTCTTATTAATAGGGATTATAACGAGTTTAAAATCAACAACTATTGTTACAAAATATTTGTAATACACAATGCCAGATTTGGTACCAGGAACAAAAAATGAAACTAAAATATTCAGTAGGACACCTCTACCAATATATATATATATAATATATATATTATAATTACACTTCCTTTCCCTGTTTTGATAGTACAAATGATACATAACAAAAATACATTTTAAATCTAGAAAATATGAATGTATGATGAATCTGGCTCCTGTGCTTTTCATGATATTGGTGGTATAACAATAAATTAATGAACTGATGTTCAATCTTAGCATATTTTCTAGGAGAATAATAACTGCAATTAAAAATAGACCTAGAAATTAATTTCTATGTTTTTTTGACCCGAAACACATGCAGAGGGGGAGAAGTAGTCTTTCCAGCTCTGAGTGGTGTCCTCAGGTCTTTCCTTCAGTCTCCATAAGGCCCCAACAACCTCCGGCTATTAGCTAGAAGAGCCTGTATGTAGCCTGTGATGTGAGGCCCACTGACAGCAGATATATTTTAGAAAGAACGTCCACCTGAACAACAGATGGGATAAGGACTAAAACAACATTTTGAAAAGTTAGGAGGACATGTCTCCCCAAACAAATAATGCAAACGACACTTGTGCAAGATTTGCAATCACTGCAGATACTTACTGTAAAACTAAAAAAATATACTGGCGTGGATTTACAGAGACGGTACAGTTATGTGATAACTGCCCTGGGACAACGTTGGAGAAAATATTGTGTTTCAGTCTCGCAGTATCAAACACTTGGTCAAAATTGCAAAAAACATCAAATACAACAGAGGTAAACGCAAAATGGCTGGATAAACCACCAGGGGGCTCTAGGGAATAAACTAATCCAAATCCCGGGGCCCCTATTGACCCTCCAAACCAGTATCATGGCAGATTGTGAAATAGTCCAACAAACACAGGACTTTACAACCATGAGACCTGTGTTCCACAACACCTTCTGGTTTTATTGTTGTGGTTTTGTTGCCTAAAACCTTTGTGACGGTTTTCCTAAACATAACTACATGTTTTGTTGCCTAAACCCAACTGTATGTAGATATTTTAAGCCCAACCATGATGTAATAACTAAATCTAACTAAGCGGTTTCGCTACCTAAACCTAACTTTCGTTTTGTAATGTAATGTCGTCCCAAAAAAAAAAGTTGTTAAGAGCGACATGGGGATATTACAATTTGTGTCCCTTTACACGAAACCAATAGATTGCGTATCAAGACTATTTCACAAAATGCCGTGAGACCGTGTTGGACCCTCCCAGTCCTCTCACCAGTCACCCTACCATTTATGTACAGTTGTTTTTCACCCAGAGCCCCAGATACAACCCAGTAGGACGACTGGTTTACCACCTTCTGTCATACTAGATTTTTATTTTAGAAATAGGAATATGCACCATGTTAGCACAATATCACCTGAAAAAATGAATTTCATATTTTGACACAGGACTCCTCTACAAGACAGGGCCACAGGATTAGGTAACAATCACCACATCATGGCTCTTGTGGTTTAAGTGTTGCTATTATAAGTAAGCTTGAAAAACGCAGATGGGGCTTTAACAACACTTTGTACTGTTCTGAAGCCATTTCCAGAATCCTCAAAGACTAACTATCTGGATGAAAAAAGTATTCCCATCTGCTGCAGGCTGAAAGAAATTAATATATAATCAAATAAACATTTTAACACATCCTTGCTTGTTTGGAAACACAAACAAATTAAGACATCGTTTTGTATGGAATTATGAAATATTGGTAGAAACATCAACATATATCAATATAAATCATTTATTTATTTTTTCTTGGTTCATGTTCTACAAATTGAGCACGGAGATGTACTATCCGGTTACCAACTTTTTTTTTTTAGATTACAAAAATTTATATTTGTATTTTGCAACAGATGGACTAATTTTTCATCCAGATGGTTAGAAGATTATTTAAGGATGCAGTTGAAGAATTATTTTATCATTGCACAGCTACTGTCTTCCTCAGTTGCTCTGCTTCCAGTGCAGCTTGTTTTAAGTAGAGCTTTTATCCAATCAGATTTCACCTCTGTGTCTCTAGGTAGAACAGAGGCCCGAGGCCTGCAGACTCACAAGTGAATCCCTTTGCAGTTTAAGTGAATGGGGACGATATTGTTGATTGTCATAGTCTTCAACCAATCACATCTTTAGTTTGACATGTTGGGCGTATTCTTTGACGTGCCAGAGCCTTCTAGCTGGCCTAGCCATACGTGATTGGTCAGTGGGCTAGCGTGACATGTTGGGCGGTGACAATCCCAAAATCTGCTGCCTCTGTCGAGCGGACATTTTAAGCCCTCAAACGCATTAAAACCTATTCAAGAAATACAACTGGGGAGGCTCGACTGTCTTCACTGGCGTCCATGAATGGAGAAGGACTTCTTACTGGAACTAAAACGCACGGATTTACTGAACAACCGTGAGATTAAACTCTTTGTTAACAAAGAAAGGAGGAAGAACAGCTAAATAGTGAACAGCAGCTCTGGTAAGTTAAATGCATTTGTTTTTACATCTGCAGTAGCTTTAATATGCTTGTTTATAGATTATTATTTGTACAACTTGTTTTTATGAAGATGGATTTTTGTTTGGTTTTATATGTGATAGGAACTATTGTTACGTCCAATGTTGCTCTGGGGACTTGGCGACTCTCTCGCTAAATCTGGCAACTTTCCAAACCCTCATGGCGACTTTTTTTGTCAAAAGCTACTAGTGACAAATTTAGCGACTTGTTCTAGTGTTGTTGGAGACTTTTCTGAAAGCACGTATGTGCTGCACTGTCGTGAACGAGCAACGGGTGCTGCCCCTCCGCCGCCCCAAAGCACTCACAGGCGGTAACTCGCGCAGCAGTCCCAGCTGCAGTCAGAGCAGAGAGGAGACGCACTCCCGGCATATTCTCTGCAGATAGGTGTTGGCTTCATTTTTACACGAAACAAATAATAACCGTAGCTGTGTTTCAGCTGCAGGACAGCAGTCATGGCCCAGGTATAAAATGCACGGCCCGCCACTGGTGACAGTTAATACTTAAATGCTATCCACAGGTTGTGTCTCTCTTGCACTATAATATAAATACAGATAACAGAGGTGACAGTCGATTTCTATCAAAGATTAAAGCTTCTACACTGGATTCAGGGCGATAATATATCAGCAAACAACGATTTGCAATTAAGAATTTCCGCATAACGTCTACCAAAGCAGAGAATGAAGTCCCTCTCCCTCTGCGTGTGTTGTAATCCGAGCTAGCCCCCACTGGTTAGCTCGTTGTCCCCGCTCTGCACTGCGCACACACGGCGGTTACAGCCGATGCCGTCGTCCTGACTGACACCGCAGTCGTCATGTAGGGCCCACCTTCCAGTTCCCCCCCGCTGGGTAAACACTGTTTGCTCTGTCAGCACTGTTGCTGCTCTTTGCACTGTTAGCGCTGTTAGCCTCTGGCTCAGCCGTCTCCATGTTGAGAGCTGTGCGGAGGCAATCCCTCAATCATAAACATGGTCATAATTGGGCATTAAGCACCTTTGGTGACCAGCGATCAGTAAACAACACTGAACTGTTTACTGCTTTCTATAACCGCCAATGTCTTTCCTAACCATCTGGATAATCATTCCGTTTCCCAAGTTGCGCCTCTTTCCAAAGCAAAACAAAGATGGCCATGCACCGACTACCTGGATAGGAAACAAAACATCACTATTTTTTTTCATTTAGCTGACTAGACATATTTTGTCATCCAGATGGTTTAGACGTGAAAAGAATATTCTGGCTTTTTCAAACACTGCCTGTTAATTATCTTTTCAAGAGAATTTACGGAGCAGGAAATATCCTAACGGCCGACAACAAGAAGCACAAACTGAAATGTATTATATCACTCTGGAAGCATGCGCCTTGCCTCTCATTCCAAGTTACATGACGATAAAAAATCAAATTAAATGCGTAGATCTGTTCCAGAAAAAACGACAACACCTGAACGCAACACGTGCATACACGCATCTACATTAGCTTTGTTAAAAGCCCCGCTGCTGAATACAAAGGTTCCACGTCCGCATGTTACAGTCAGGACAGCTATGGTAATGCGAGAGAGCCTGAAGCCACGGTTGAACTAGAATGTTCTCCCGGTGGAGTGGGACCGAGGAGGGTTCTCGGTAACCTTACCGAGCTGTGGTGACACTTTCTCTCTGTAACAATCTGTCTGCTATCCTTCTAATATTTAACACAGCGTCGCTGCTTAGCCGGTTTTTTTTCCTCCGGAGAGCATCCGCCGCTGCGCAACCAAAACATCCAGCCTGACCCGCTCCGGTTGTTACCGGTAAACGACGCTTTGAGCGGCGGGTATCGTATATTTACCAGACACAGAAAGGGAAGTTGCACGCGACGGTGGAGCCGTTTTTTTTCTTTACTTACGTCTCTGTAAAAAAGCCATAAAGATGATGGTGCTGAGGAGGGTCGACATGACTGGAGTCTGACATCAGCAGTGTGTGTGTGCGTGCGCGTGTGTGTGTGTGTGTGTGTGCCTCCCCCCTCTGACCGACCAACGAGAAAAGGGAGGGACTTTCATCAGAGGAAAAAGCAGCCCACATTAGCTTTTTATTTTTATATTTGATTGAACTTTTGTTTAAAGAATATATTGATTGGGAAACATAAGATATGTCGGCGTTGTGTTAGAACATATAGTAGGCTATTTTTTATTTATTTATTTATTATTGCAAAAAAATATTACATAAAGAGGTCTGATTGTGACACAGATCGGAAGACATCTACACAACGTTTATTAATATCCTCTCCTGCATTTACAGAATTATTAGATCTATATCCATTTCTGTTCTTTACCGTAGGCGGTTCAAAAGAGACAATTAAGTGTACAAATCCACAATTCACCCCAAGGCTTTATTTTGGAATTGAAATGATTGCAGTTATTAATAAGGTGCATAGAATCACCAAACTGGTTTTGATATTGAGTTTATAGCCTAATCTGATCTCCATCTCCTTAACTTGCCACAATGATATTATCAAAATCGATATGATGCCTACATGTCTTTGTCTTCCGGGCTATTCCTCGGACCCTTCAATTACTTTTAATAAGAAATAGTGTCTTTAACATAAGTTTTAGGTTGCCTCCTGGAGTTGAAGAGAATTCATGCCGTCTCCGTTTTTCTATAGTGATATATTATAATAAATCAAAAAAACTGAAATAAATGTATGTTCATGTTTATATTATTTTTTATTTGTTTTGTTTTTTTACCAGGAGTTTTAATATTTCTTAAAGTCAGGGTTGGTAATTTTCTTTAAATCTATTTTTTTTTATTTTTGTCAACATTTGTTAATACATCCTGACAGCAATCAATGAGTCAAATGCTCTGACAAAAAAATCTGGCATCTGTGGCTGCTGCAGGACTGTGCCTGTGCAATCATTTCATTTGGCACAAACAACAGCTAAGTTTGTTGTTTACGTCCATTATGATCATTTTTGGGGGAGTGGCTTTGGAGGGAGGGCTGAAGGGGCTGTCAGTGATGCTAACTTGGCAACTTTCTTGCTAGATTTAGCAACTTTCATAGCTAGTGCTTCTACTTTCATTGCAAAATTGTTGGCAACACTGGGCTGTTGTTTTTTTTTCTCGGGTGGATCATTTTTAAAATCTAGCGTACTCTTGCTAGTTTCTCAAGATAACCAACCTTGCCTTTAAAGGAACAGTATGTACGATTTAGAGACATCTAGTGGTGAAGTTGCAGATTGCAGCCAACTAAATACCCCTCGGCTCACCCCTCCCTTTCCAAGCATGTCGGAGGACGACAGTGAACTTCAGGCTTTTATTACTGAGCTACTTTCTGAATACTCTGTTCTTCATCATGACCAAATAATTGCTTTAAATATATATAATTTTTTTTATAATTTAGGTATTAGTAATTAATATCTCACTGGAAACCAATGTCAATAAAATGAATAAGATTCCTGAGGGAAGTTTATAAAGAATGAAGAACACAGAATCAGTCATTCCTCCGTCCTCTGTCCTCCTTCCTGTATTAAATTTGAATTAAATTCTATTTATTTACTCTGTAGGTACCGCTGGTTGGGGGCGGAGGGGCTGCTTTGTCTCAGGCAGCAGAGAAGTTTACAAGCACAAGCTAATCTACATACAGACAGCTTTTGTTTTAGCTCGTTTGTTAAAAAAAAGAAAGAGGAAAAAAGCAGATTGAATAGGTTCTGCTTTCGTTTATGTGATGTCCACCAATGTGCTGTCACATATGTGTTCATGCATTTTGTTTTTATGTGCAGCGTGGCGCTTCACTTTGCTTTACGAAGGGTAGAGTAGATTTACGGCCTTAACGTCGCGATTGCGTTGTTTTCCTCATCCTGCTGAGCGGGGCTGACCGCACAGGAGCGAAGTTTCCCTGTCTCATTTATCTGTAGGTGCAGGTGGGTGAAGAAGTAATCCAAGTTAAATAAGTCTTGCTAAATGAACATATTGTTTTAGTATCATAGTTTGCTGATCTATTTACATGTCTAGGGATTCTACAAAGAAGGCCAATTCGTTTTTAGATGCTTTGGAAACAGGAGGTCTTAAAAATCTTCATTTGAGTAAATATTTAGCAGGATATTGAACCTTTGTTTTTTTATAATGCATGTAATACTTCACTTCTTTCTTTATAGGCCTTGTACAAAGGCAATACGTGTTTGTGTAGATTGACAAATGAAAAGTACTTTGAACAAAAGTAAAAAAGTAAAGTTATCAACGGTAAGCCAATATACAAATATTAGCAGTAAGTTAGGTTTTATTTTATTTTGTGACAACGTAGTTATTGCTGTTAATTAATTTTGGTTAACTGAGCCAACAGAACTTACAGCTGAGTAAGTAAACTAAGTGTTGAAATGTGGAAATAGGCAACGAGTGTGACTCTGTATTATTGCCAGTATTATTGAAGGCCTTTTTCACAGTAGATAGAGTATAATGATGCATAAATGATGTCGAACAGATTGGTTTTGCATGTGGTGAGTAAATTCATTCTGCAGAACGAGGCTAAACGAACGGGAGCAAAGTTGCCTTGTCATCATTTATTTGTCCTGTTTGCAGAAACTATTCTGGTACATGTAACATTCACATGTTCTTGCTTGTTGAACAGATGTATTGATACAAATACGTATTGGCTTTTTACTTGTGAATGTTTTATTGCACTATAACAGTATTGAGTACCTCACCTGGTTCAATCCAGTGTCTCTACCACGGCCCCTCTGCTCTGTGTGTGTGTGTGTGCTTGTGTGTGCTTGTGTGTGTGTGTACACAGAGGAGCTCAGCTGTCCATCCTGCTGTTAGCAGCACTTCCACAAGATTCTGACAATGTTACTTCAGCCGAACACTAGATGTCTCTGTTGCCATGAGAACTACCCGAGCAGATTGTGTCATCAGGTTTGAGTTTCATCCTGCCCGCTGAGCACCTCTGTTCACTGTACGGTGGAGAATTCAGTGTTTATACCAAACCTCAACTGCTGGGTAATGTTTATTTGTGTGCACAAATTAAGTAGTTCAAGACCACAAATGAACCACCAGGCACTGGCACATCTCTCTGGATAATTTAGTCATTAAATATATGGCATTTGTTGCATTATGTTAATTTTCCATTGCTTTTTAATTTTTATCTAAAGATTTTTGCATCACAATTTGTCCAAACCTCACCAAATACAACCGTACTAAGTTATGTTTGAAGATGTACATTTATTTTGTACTGTTTTTATCCTAATTACTTGCCAAATTGCTGTTTTATTGCCATTTAAAACAGTTGCCACTAGGCAGGTCAAGATACCAGAAATTTTGTAGTTGATAATAATACCAGAGAAATTCCATGATTTTCAATGCCCCTTTCGATACCACGGTAAAAAACTAAAACAGAACAATAAATCCCACGTTCTTCAACAGACACTCCTTTATGGTTGTTTCGGACCAAGGGATCCACACAGGTGATCCTACCTGCCTTCCGGTGTCGGTCCATGGGAAACCACACCGGGGATCCTGCCTTCTGTCCAGTGTAAATAAAGTCTGTTCTGTACCTGAATCCTGTCTTATGGTCTTGCTATTGGGTCCTGTCCTGAACTCCCTTGACAGCAATAGCAGAAGAATGGGAACCAGGGACAGAATTGAGGGGAACTAATTACCCAGGACCCCAACTTTGGGAGGGTCCTCAAAAAGTCTGGAATTTAAGATTTGTTTTCATCTGCAATTGTGATGAAAAAAATGTGCAAATTAGCATTATACGTACACTATTAGTTAGCTAGTTAAATAGACAAAACGGACTATCCCGAAACCAATAATAGAGCCTTAAAGAGTCCTTCCCCCTCTCAAAGGTGTACATGGTTTAGTCCACTCCAGTGGTATTGTGGACAAAAATAGTTTGTCTCTAAATACGGTAATTGTGCCGATGCTGAGGGCAAATGCAAATGCCCCAAAACTGCATGTTTTCGATCACGTGGCAATGCCCTCGGAGTAATTTAGATGATGTTGCTCTAGAGCCAAAATGTCAGCGTAGGGACGAGGTCAGGGTGGATGGACGGGTCAACAAAACATTAGCCTTAAACATGGTACACCTGTTTATTTCCTGTTTCCAACTGACAGTCAAGTTTTCTTCAGCATGACCACGGTTTTGCTTTAACCTTAACCAGGTGTAAACATGCAACATTTCCTCATACAACAGTTCCTTTGAGAGAAAAAAAGATCATGGTTTGAGTTAAAATGAGTGTGGAAGCGGGGTTACTTAAGTACGGATTTTACATGACAAATAAGTTGTCATTGACTTCTGGTTCCTCACAGAACATGAACAGCATTTTCCTGGGTGAAAGTCTTGTGTTATGAGACCCACACCTTCACTCCGACCTTCCTTATTAATCGACTTTGTTTCTGGGTTGGGTATTGTCTCGCTATTGGAGACCAGTGGCCATTTGAAGAACTAGTTTTTGGCACTAACGCATTGGCTTCATTTCTCAGGACTGGAGGTGGGTGCTTGCATAAAACTGATTTACTTCAGTAAGTATGAGAGATTTACTAGTGTACTAGTACTAGTATTGATTTGTTCATTTGATTTGTTCAAGAATTTGTTTGGTATTATGAGAAAGAAGGCTGAAATTTGCTGAGATTGCAGATTGTGCAGACTTTTTGAGATGCATTCTGAAAAGTTCAAAACTAATTACACTATAATCCCAACAGATGACTGTTTACTTTGATTTTACGTTGATTCTGTTATCTGTACAGGTGTGATAGGGGCTCACTGGGTCTGCTTATCCCACTGGGGGGATTTCATATCAAAATGTTTACAAAAACTGACAGTTATCACATTATCAATAACTGGTGTCGGTCAACAACATTTACGTTTTCATTTACTCATTTGGCAGACACTTTGATCCAAAACAACGTACAAATGAGGAACAATCCCAGATCGGGAAGGACAAATAGAGTTGGGTATCATCAGCATAGAAGTGTAAAGAAAACGCATTTATGATGCTGTGTAAAATAATTAATTACCTTAATTATTTAGTTTAATTAGTAAAGTCCTGACATTTTAAGTTATAATCATTGAGGTTTTCATGAAATCAAACACTAGCTTTAAAATATTTATTGTAAACATTTTATCTGCAATATATATTTTATTTAATGTAGCAATTACTTATATAGGAGTTTTTGCTGATACTGGCAGACTCTGCCATCCCTGAACTGGATTCAAATTGCTTCCCATGCACAAAGGATTCACAGAAAACAAGGCATGCATGTAATCCAGTTAAATTTCATCTCATTGACAACAGCCGCTGTGGCCTGTTCGCTCTGTTCATCACGTTCTCGTGAAATAACTTTGCTGACGCCCAGAAACATCCCGAACATGGCAAAATAAGAAGAAAAGAGAAAATACAGCTGGAAGGCAGAGTCACTGCTGATACAGACACCGCCACACACTTCTAGTGGGTCATGAATAATGATTGAGAGGGATTCTTTTTGTATTAGTCTATACATAGTTTAAGGCTGCATATTATACCTTTAAGCTACTGCTAATGTAATTTTTTTATTTTTATTTCCTCATTTTGGGATATTACATCTCATTGAAAGTCTCTGAATTCTGTCTGACAGCTGTCCCCTTATCTGTCTGACACAGAGACAGTGACTCAACCTGGATATAATTAGTGATGATGACAAAGAATACTCGTTTGTGAGTCTGCAACAAAAAACTCAGGCCCGGCACATAATTGTTTGTAATACATTATCTTAAATCTTTCTCTAAATATAACAAATATTTCACTGAGCTGACCTGAGAGTTTCCAGGTTACAGGTGTGGACTCTCCAGTCCAGCAGAAAGAAACTTCACTCCTGAATCCTGCAAGCTATTGTTACTCAAGTCCAGCTCTTTCAAGATGGAGGTTTGGAGGCTGAGAACTGAAGCCAGAGTTTCACAGCTCTTTTCTGACCATTTACAAGCCCTTAGCCTGAAGAAGAATAGAAAATTGTAAAACAAAAATTAAAAAAATGTAAATGTTAAATTAGTCCCAAACTGGAAATTTAAAGCAGATAGGCCCTGACACACTGAATTCATTGTATGAAGATGGACTCATGCCCCATTTGGTCTAAATATATTTTCTGTTGGATTGGGTGATTTTAGCATTTCCCGCCCTGGTCAGTTATTTGAATCCTGTCCTGAGCACATATTGATAATGTTTCACCTCTGCCCCACTAATAATTACAGCCACAATTTCCTACTCTTTATTGAGGAACGTGTTGGTCAACGTGTAATTTAAATCCTGTCCGCAGAGTCGTCCTTGTATTTTAAAGTCGATTTCTGAGGTGTGGCTTTTTAATCAGCTCAGTGTGAAATTTTACTTTGAGGGGAGGCACCATTCCAGTAAATGTATGCTGATTTAGCCATTAGCAGTTCCTGTTTGCAACGTCCCCATGGATGTATGGACAACTATCACTGGATTGCTGTAATACTTAAGAAAACCAAAAAATATGATTGACAGGCAAGTTCTGAAGCTTATATTTGCAGTATATTTGGCTCCCCTTCAACTCTCCCCATTGAGAGGATTTTAGCTCTTTTGTCTTTGTCCTGCTGAATGTCTGTGTCTATTACGGACCAAATCCTATAATTTCCCATTGGTTACAATGCCTTTCTGAATGATGAATTACAATTAGATAGTGAGTCATTGTAGTGCCAGTCAAAATGGGAAACAATATGAAGTGCTGTGAAGAGGAGTTGATCTTTCTGTCGGCTCTGCTAGACGCTCTCTTGTACTGTTGCTGATTTGTGCTGTGAAAGAAGAAACAGAGAAAACTTCCTGGTAGGGTGTTGGATCAACCTTCAAGCTTGTTTGACTTCTTCATAGGTTTGAGACATTGATGTGCATCTCTGCAACAAAAACCCCTTCGTTAAGTTTAGGTTTATGGTTGGGTTTAAAATAAGCACACCGGTCTTAAGCAACGATCTTCTGCCGCCCACCATAATCGATCTCTCCCACATTTTAAACTTCATCACTTGTTCAGGGCGTAGCATATTCACGCCGATGCATTTACTTACATTGTAGTCAGTCCACACTACATGGCTTACAAATGACACGCAAAAAGCAAGATCGGCATTTTATTGCAAAATTACTTACAAATTGTCGTCTCGTTCATGCACAAAATGGTTATAGCGGACTGATGTGATAGTACAGAAACCAGCTGACCTGAGAGTTTCCAGTTTACAGCGGGGATTCTTCAGTCCGGTACTGAATACCAGCACTCCTGAATCCTCCAGGTCGTTCATACTCAGGTCCAGCTGTCTCAGAACAGAAGACTTGGAGCTAAGGAACAAGCCCACATCATCACAGCTATTCCACGTCAGTGCACAGAAAATCAACCTAGAAAAATAAGTGATAAAAGTGATAAACACAAACATCAGTCTGGATTAGCAAAAATAAGATTTTCAGCGAGTGTTAAGTCACTCTCTAAATGACAGCCATCAAACAGATGTAGGTCTGGTTAAACAGAAAGCTGACCTGAGAGTTTCAAGTCTACAGTGTGGACTCTCCAATCCCACAGAGAGCCACTTCACTTTGTCCTTCAAGTTGTTGTTAGTGAGGTCCAGATCTTTAAGACTGGAGGACGGGCAACTGAGAACTGAAGACAGAGCTTCAATACTCTCTGATGTCAGCTTACAGTTAGTCAGCCTGTAGAATCATCAATAACAAAAATCCATAAAAAATAAGGTTAGTGTCAATGCAGTCTGACAGAACTCAAATTCACTGAAGTTCATTTTTATTAGTTTTGATTGTCTCCTGATTACATCTGTAACGTTATGATGTTTAATGTTAGTATGTTATGAGAAGTAAGAAGCTGGAGAAAGTGAAACAGCAGCACTTGCCCCCCCCCCATGATTACCATCGGTGAGGTGCCATTCAGCAAAATGCCAGTTTTTATTAACGTGTCATATTTCCCAAAAATTTGACCATTGTGACTCTATGGTTCATGCTAACTTTGCACTCGTCACTTCCGTTGAGATTCAGGGAAAATGATATATATACGGGCAAGCAAAAGTCTCGTATGCTTGTCTATGAGTTTGTCGCAGGACATAGTCCCTTAGAATGACCGTAACGAGAGCTACATCCAGGTCCACCTGCCAGCTCACCTAACCAACCTACACATTCATTCTCATACACCGGTGTCTTTATATGTGTGAAGCTGACTTTCACTGCAGTTATACTGTCTTCTAGGTCACAGAAAAAGCTAAAAAAGAGACTTGGATATCTATGTTTCCACAGGTGGGAGAGGTCCCAGCTATGTAGCTAAAACAAATGAAAATGCAGCTCTGATCGACCTTGGTGTCCTGGAGACTGTTCCTCCTCCCTAAAGTCAACTAACAGAAAAGACAGAGGCCAGCTTGACCAAACGCTAAAGAAAGAAAAAAACATGAAAACACATAAAAAGCTATTTTATGTGAGGGATTGTAATGTTAGCTGAGCGAAAAAGTGAACAAGTTGACCCACATGTAGATCCCTATGCAGTTAGCCATAACGGCTACTCGAGGCTACTCGTGTCTTTTTAGACTTGTCAGAATCAGAAACAATAGTTAATGTAAAACTAATTTATATTTGGAAAGATGTAAAAGGCTTGCACGGTTTTCCCAAATATACATTTCACCCCAATCTCTACAAGTGAGGTGACGAGTGCAAAGTTAGCATGATCCAAGGTTTTGGACAAATGTAAATTTTGAAGATAATGATAATGATGGAGCACAATTTTGAAATTCCTAACAATTCCAATTGATCCTGTCAGGACCATGAACATCCGTACCCGAGCATGCGACGGACTGAAGTGTGAGTGGAAGGATTTTGGATGTAGTGCAGGGTAGGTTTTTATAAAAGCTTGAGCGTCACCTTATCTTATTGAAAAAAATAGATGTAATCATTAATAAAATTCACAACATGTTTTTAACTAATATAATATCCTGCTTCAATCCATATTTGTTGGCATTTAGCCTTTCAAAAATAACATTTTCACTGTGGTCAAAAAACTGATTGCTCTCCTGCTCGCCGCACACAAAGGAGGCACCTGTAGGGTACTAACAGCAGACCAATCTGAAAGTTCTATCCGTTAAAAAAGTTGATCAAATAAAAAAGACCAACAAATTCAATCCAATGAATCACTAAATAAAAATTGAGAATTTTGTTCAATGACTTTTTTAAAGGGTTGTATCATAAATAATGACAAGAGACATTAAAAGCTTCATCCAAAAACCTCAAAAAAAGCTTTGGATATTTGTAGATTTTTTAAAAAGACATTTGGTACAGCTTTTTTTTTTTTTTTGGAAGACGGTAAGCAATTTGAGTGGAGTGGGGGGAAATCTGAGTTGAGCGCAGAGTGATATTTAGTAGAGCGACTTTGAGTGGGTGAGCGGGGGGGAACGAAATCAATGTGAAAGAGGAGCTGAAATTGTCACCGCTCCACTCTGTTCTCATGCCCTGGTCGTACCATATATCATGGTAATCCATCCAATAGTTATTGAGATAGTTCAATATTAACCAAAAGAAACTACCTGTGGCACTAGAGGAAATGACAGAATATTAGCAAACTCTTTAGCGTCGATCATCTGGGAACCTTAATGTCTGTACAAAAAAATATATTTCAGATATTATATCTGGATCAAAATGGTGGACTGATCACTGACCTTGCTATTGCAAAAGCCATGCTGCTATCGTCGCTAAAAAGTGTGTATTATGTAACAATATGAGTAGTAGCATGCCACCTTAACAAGCACATTCATAACAAGTATGAAGGCAGGCCATGGTCATAAACAAAAATGTAAAAGACAATCACTATGACAAACTGATGTTACTAAGAGCCTGGGAGTTTCCAGGCTACATTGTGGATCCTTCAAGCCACCCGTGAGCACCTGGAGTTGTGGATCCATCACATTGTAACTCAGGTCCAGCTCTCTCAGATTAGAGGTCACGGAGCTGAGAGCTGAGGCCAGAGCATCACAACTTCTCTGAGACAGGTTACAGCCACTCAACCTGAAGATGTCACAGTCAGAAAGAATGAACAAGGACCTAAAAATGTAACATTTACAATATCAAATATGTCAAGTAAGTTGTGCACCTACAGAGATAGACTGGAGGCTTGAAGCACTGGCAGCAACTTCAGAAGACTTTCCTCTGAACCAGAGAATTTCTTCAGGTCAAACACATCCAACTTGCTCTCTGATGACAGTAAGATGAAGACCAGAGCCGACCACTGAGCAGGAGACAGTTTGTCTGTGGACAGACATTCTGAACTGAGGTACTGTTGGATTTCCTCCAACAGAGAATGATCACGCAGCTCATTCAGACAGTGAAACAGGTTGATGCGTCGCTCTGGAGAGGGATTCTTCCTGATCATCTCCTTGACGTACTGGACTGTGTCCTGATTGCTCTGTAAGCTACTTCCTGATTGATTCAATAGGCCTTGAAGAAGTGCTTGATTGGTCTGCAGTGAGAGGCCAACGAGGAAGCGGAGGAACAAGTCCAGGTGTCCATTTGGACTCTGTAAAGCCTTGTTGACTGCACTCTGGAAGAGCTGATTGACTGCAGATTGCCCAGTAATGAGAGCAGACTGTTGGGAGGTTGGTTGGTCTTCTGACAACACGTTGACACCATAGCTGATGAAGGACACAATGACATGAAGGGCAGCCAGAAACTCCTGAAAGCTCAAGTGGTCGAAGCAGAAACGTTTGTCCTGGTTCAGCCCACGGTCCTCCTTAAAGATCTGTGTGAGCACGCTTGAGTACACAGAAGCAGCTTTAATGTCAATGCCACACTCTTTAAGATCTGCTTCATAGAAGATCAGGTGGCCTTTCTGCAGCTGCTCAAAAGCCAATTTTCCCAGAGACACTGTCACAATCAGGCTTTGCCTTGGGTGTTTTGTGTGTAGTTTTCTGTAGCTCCTCACTTCCTTCACCTGTCCCTAATTAGTTCATTCAGTGCACCTGCCAGTCACACTCTCCCTCATCAGCACAACTCTCCTCACCTGTTCTAGTCACTATTTAAACCCCTGTCTTTCACTCACTCACTGTCAGATCTTTGTGTTTGTTTTCTACCTACCCGCCCGTTTTGCTCGTCCTGTTCCCGGTTTTTCAGCCTGCCTGTTCTGCCTTGTCCAGCCGGATTTTCCCCCTCGTTTCTTGTCCTTGGATTCCCTGTGTGTTTTTGGTTTGTCATTAAACCCTTTTTCTCTTCACCTGACTGTCTGCATTTGAGTCCTCTTTATGTCCCGTGACAGACACAATCATCTTACTGGTCTCTGTGTTCCAGAGTGGATCTGTCTCAGCTCCTTCATGATATTTTGCATTTGCCAGTTTGGACTGCTCTAATAGAAAATGGATATACATCTCAGTCAAGGTCTTGGGCAACTCTCCTCTTTCTGTGGTTTTCAACAAATCCTCCAGAACTGTTGCAGTGATCCAACAGAGGACTGGGATGTGGCACATGATGTGGAGGCTTTTTGATGCCTTGATGTGCGTGATGATTCTGCTGGCCAGCTCCTTATTCCTGAATCCCCATCTGAAGTACTCGTCCTTCTTTGGATCAGAGAACCCTCTCACCTCTGTCACCATGTCAATGAACCCTGGAGGGATTTGACTGGTTGCCTCGTGTGTTGTGGTCAGCCAGAGGCAGGAAGAAGGGAACAGTTTCCCCATGATGAGGTTTGTCAGCAGCACGTCCACCAAAGCCGAGTCGGTAACATCAGTCAGGAACGCGTTGTGGAAGTCCAAAGGAAGTCGACACTCATCCAGACCATCAAGGATGAACACAAGCTGGAGTTTATCAAAACCACATATTCCTGCTTCTTTGGTCTCAGCAAAGAAGTGATGAAGAAGCTCCACCCAGCTATATTTTTTTCAACTCTCGAAAAAAAGAGCAGCTTTAGGACCCTGTCCCTAACATCCTCAATTTAGATGCCAATCTGTCCCCTATTGCTTCACTAAAAACACAACAGGTAATATCTAAGCCCTGTTAGTAAGTAAATCACATAAGACTGAATAACACCATTTTAACCTTAGCTTGTAGCAGGTCTGTTATTCAAATGTATATCCAATCATTTACTATTGTCAACCTTTCCCAGGAGAAGAGCTCTCTTACCTTTAGGAGACTACAAATAAAAAATAATTTTTTCAATAAAACCCATTGTTATGGGTTACAACAATGGATAATGCAAAAAGTCGATAAAAGTAAAGACAAAAGACCTATCTATGTCTGAGAGACCTCAAGACCCAGCCTAAGCCTATAGGACAGAACCCTGAACCTATCTAGTCTCCTCCAGCATCTTTAACCTCCTGGTCCATATCTGGTAGACAACTAAACATTGCCAAATGATTGGATAAAGCTGTTTACATAGTCTTACAATTTTGATATGTTTCTTTAAGTTAACACTAATTTCTTAACTTCCTGTCCGGCCTTCCTGAGTGGAACATCAGTCCGGATGTTTCCCTGAACATTTATAATTTTTGCAAAGTCTGCACTTATCATCTGTTTCGTATGCTGACTCTGACAATGATCGATCAAAGTATTTGAATCCAAGATTATTCACATTTACTCATCTTAACCAATTGTGGTTACAAGAGCATCCAGGGTTACACATGAGTGAATGAGTGAAGATCACTTAAACATTATCAATATTAATTTAACACTCAGAAAAACACTCAAAATTACTCATAGCTCAGTCATATGTAAGAAATCAATAGAAACGTATTGAGTAGGATAAAACTGAAATGCATCAAGACTATATGAGTATGAAATAGAAGAAAACAACACTTTGAAATACTGCTTACTAGTGTTTTCTCTCTTTGGCTAAAGGTTATAAGAGCGGAGCTGCATAAAGGTCAGTCAGGAGAGAAAACAACACGTTCAGATATTTCTATTGTTTTCTATTGATATTTATTGACAATTTCTATTGTCTAAGTGTCAGTCAGGTTCATAAATCACAGAATGCTTTAGGCTGCGCTTTTAGGGTCTAGCTTCCTGCTCCCTAAAAAATCAATTAGTTAAAATTAGAGAGGTTATGGGTGAGGTGTGTCTCGGACATTTTAGGGCTACCGCAACACAGTTCCTTAACTTTGCAACAACTTTAACCCAAAACACACATTTTATCACTGCACTTCAATTGACAGTCAAATATAAAAGTTCAGCTGTTGCCTAATGCTTCCTTTTTGTAGCCTATGGATATAATGCAGAAACAGCTAAATAAAATACTCTAGAGCAGGAAATTTGTGCAGGAGATGTGGCACTGACTCCATCTTTTTAGAGGTTATTCTGTGAAAGCAGTGAGGGAGACAGCAGTACCTTTTCTCTCCAGACAGAGGTCTTGATTGAAGCTCTTTCTTCTCTAGATTGAGGGCTTGAATCTGTGTGGTGTTATAACAAGCCAGGGTAAAGAGAAGAGAAAAAGAGAGGAGGAACCTGAAAGTTCCCCATATGCAGTTCAAGACAGCCTTTGTCAAAAGACCTATACTCCCCTATGAATGTCTTATCTAAAGGCGTGAACCTCTGTATGCATAAAATGATGTTGAATGTTGAACTTAGTCGAAGCTTTAACCACAGACTGCGGAATACTTACTCTGATGTATACTCTTCCCTTGCAAGCGAATAAACAGAACAAGACAACTTTGAATCTTCTGAAGACTTTATTATTGATTTGAGAAGAAAAACTTTCTTCTCCCGATTAACTCAGAAATCTTCCACAACACTAACAATTCAGATTCTGTCACATTCTACACCATAGGCACAGGTATGGGAGCAATTTTGGGGTTAAGTGTCTTGCTCAAGGACACATCAACATGAGACAAGCAGAGCCGGGGATTCGAACTGCTGATTGAAGGACGGCCCTGCTCTCCACTTAGCCACAGATGCTATATTCTCCAAGGAACAGACAGGATGATGTGTTTGGCAGGATTTAGTGAAGGAAAATATGTAATTTGTAAAACTGAAAAAAGAGCATAAAAGTACAAAAGGTAAGTGCCTTTGTAAGTACTAAATAATATCTGTAGTACATCGATAAAAGATTACTGTCTTGTGGTGTCTTGTATGTAGGATATCAAAGCGTTCAGCAGCTTCTTCATGTGGGTCCACAAAGATCTGAGACTTGAGATGAACCCTCATCTGTTAAGTTTAACGGTTGCTGTTTAGTTTGGATACAACTTGTTGTATTTCTTATTTCAACCACAAGATGGTGCCATGATATGTGAAGCATACACAGGTGACACATTAATGCAGGTGATACATGTGATGACTTGATCACCAGTGAAGTCATTCTATTACAGGATGCCTTGTTATGTTTGGAAATGTATATAAAGTGGTTTGTAACTTAGACTTCCTGCTTTGCCTCTGAAGAAGACACATGTGGAAACGTTGTGCTTTTGATTCAGCTCAATGTTGTTGAAATAAATAGAGATTGATGAAGTGAACAGGTGTGTGTGTGTGTGCGCTGTCCTCCTTCAGCCAGAGAAGAGTTCCAGCAGCAGTTTGGTGAGGTTGAGTTGTTTCTTTGTTTGATATTCATAAGGCTTTATGAAACTCTTTTTAAGGGTTATAAAGAATTAAAAGTGGTGGAAATAATGTTTCATAAGTTCAGCGTTCATGATGCTTTATACCTCCATGACAAAGTGACATGTTTCTTGCAAGACAAAAGACAAAAGAAGAGGACAAGAACAGAGACTACAGACCAGTTAACATCATTCAGTCAGTGGATGAGAGAACAGCTTCATGTTTTGTGGCTTTCATTTACAGACAGCAACAAATGAACCGCCCTCAGTTTCAGCACATTCATATGTTCTGATGACCAAGGGGGCTCCCACATGGCCGTCAGTGATGCGTCTGTTGTGAACACGGATCCACAATGAGAAAGGTTCCACAGTGGGGTTCCTCTGAGAGAGAGGACCCCTTCTCTCCAATGGAGCAGGGCCCGAATACAAGACTGTGTCACAAGCAGCCTCACTCTCAGGTGAAAGGAGTTGAACCCTTGTTTCTCCTCCAGTTGACCTGTTGCTGAGGCTGTAGATGGCTCTTCTACCAATTCACTGTGAGCCCACGGGACTGAACATAAGCCTGCACCACCTTTGTCTCCTGGATTACTTTGATTTAAACAGAGGGCACAGATTACCCAGTCATCCAGATGTGGCAGATTTTTTGACATGCTCCATCTGAAGTGGGGCTAACGCAGCCGAGTAAAGATAATCGGTGCCAGTGAAACTGGAAAACTTGGACCTGGAAAGCAAAGTGGAAAATGGTCTGTGCTCTGGGCAAACCGGGACGGGGAATATGCATCTTTAAAATCAAGGGACCGCTCTCCTGCATCTCATCTAACAGAATGACGCTTCTGAGATAATTGCTTGATGATTGCTTTTACATTCATTTGTGAGATTATTTTGTGTCATGTGTTTTAAATGAAGTGGAATGACTTTACAAATGTGACAGGATTCTGTAAAGGAGCATTTTAAATCAAACGTTTCAATAAATGAATTGTATTGTATAAAATGGCCACATTTGTCCATCAAATCAACAACATATACAACTTTCTTTCCCATGCCACTCACTTGTTTAAATAAGGTCTTCAATAAATTGTATGGGCTTGATTATTCCACAAGGTGGAGCCATGTGGTGTGACATTATGGCTGAAGATCATTTTACAGTAGTGCAATATCATTTTATGGAAATGTGAGTTTAAAAATGCAGTTTTCAAATGTAAAATTCACACCTCAGCAAAAAATCCAACTCGCTGGAATAAATATTTCAGCATATGAAACCATAATGAACCAGGTTGTGCCAAATAAGCTTTTATCCAGTTGAAATTGTAATCAATGACCCACCATTGTTATAGTCTTTAATTATTTGAGATCTTTTTAGGCAACAGGTTTTATTTTTTCCATATGAATTCAAAGTAACCGAGTTCACCTTTTTAATCATTTGAGGAGAAAGATGAAGAGAATAACATGGACCAATTCATTTAGATGTACCTCCTACTTTTGAATTCTCTCCAGAATAGAATGATCCGAGCTGCTGCTGATGAAGACATTTGCTCATTCTACCTATTTGGTCTCTATATTTATTTGCTCTCTTTTATTTCCATTTCATTGTTAGACATAGGAATTTTTATTTCAGTTAACAGGAATGAATTTCTCAACACAAGGATAAAGTGGTAACAGGTAAAAAAAAAAAAGGTAAAACATTCTTTTTTTTATTATAATAAAAAAGATACATCTATTACGTATATTTTTTCTAACTTTCTTTTTTTTCCTGACGAATCAGAAACCTTTATTCCCAAGGCAGTATGCCAATATTAACATTGATGAAATGATCAGCAATAAATATACATTAATATGCAAATATCAACAATCATCAAAAACAATATAATATATTGTCACGAGGCATGATGAGGACTCAAGCGCAGACAGTCAGGTGTGGTGAAAAAAGGTTTTAATGACTAACCAAAAACAAACCAAGGAATCCAAGGACAAGACAAGAGACGAGGGGGGAAATCCGGTAGGACAAGGCAGAGCAGGCAGACTGGGAAACCAGGAACAGGACGAGCAAAACGGGCAGATAGGTAAGAAACAAACAATGATCTGGCAGTGGGTGTGTCTGAGGCAGGGGGTTAAATAGTGAAGGAGGCAGAGTGAGCAGGTGAGAGTCATGAGCTGATGAGCTGAGTGTGACTGGCAGGTGCACTGAATGAACTGATTAGGTGAGTGAAGAGCTACAGAAAGAAACACAAAGACACAGAACACACAGGGCAAAGCCTGATCGTGACATATATAATATTATAGGCATTGCTGTAATACTGTAGAAACCCTACCATGACCTCATAGAGTGCAGAGTGGACTGAAAGTGCAGGGAAGTTGCTGCAGATATTTTATTTGTCAGTTTATTTTGGGGGAAATAATGCCGGTCTGAAAGCATCTGACCAGCTACACCAGCATGAAACTTACAACATTCACACCAACCTGAGCAGTGCTTTTGTTTATTGCTAACTAGCAAAAGTTAGCATGCTAACACTTCATTAAGATTGTATTTGCATCGTCATTGTGTGCATGTTGCTATGCTATTATTAGCTTTTAGTTTAAAGAGCTGCTGTCCCCGAGTACAGCCTCTCACTATAGTCCTGTCACAGTGTCGGTTGTCATGGTGCTTATACTGTTGTTGTTTTTATGGTCATCCTTGATTGCGACGTGAAGACACATGTGCTTGGTCAGTTGCGATCCACAGCACCACAGAAGCAAAAGTAACAATCCCAAAACAATCATTGTCATTGGTTTGGATTGTTCCAATTGAAACAAATTTCTGGCGATTGATATGACAAACGTCCTCTTGTTGGCATTTTACGTTACCTGAAGGTATCGAGAACCAGGTATTAGACGGGCCCGGAGCTAAATTATTACAGACTGAGATTGAGAAGCCTCACTGATACTGGTGTTTTTCCATTGGTAATTTTTTTAAATTTTGGTGTAACCTATCACCAAAACATTCAAAATTACTACATGTATTTTACTTATACTTTTCTTATATTTATATTACTATATAAAAATGGATTTATTGAATCTGCTGTCCGCAGTCTCTCATCCACCAGCTCCATGTTTACACAATCACAGCACTCATAGTCGAATCCTAATCTTCTAATCCTGATATGAATTCATCCGTTTTTAAAATTGTATGCGTTATTAAAAGCAATAATTTAGTAATGAAAGAGAACAGAGTATTGATAAGAGTAGCTCCCGGTAGTAATAAAATCCTAAAGATACCTCTCCGTACCTGAAGTTCACCGTAGTTCTCCGACACAGTTGGAAAGGCGGAGCTGAGGGGTATTTGGCAGGTTGCAATCTGCAACTTCACCACTAAATCTTACACACTGGCCCTTTTAAGCGGTGCTCCTATATTTTGTGCAGACGCTTCTAAAACTTTCAGTAACCCCAATATAATTTATGAATGAAACTTTTTAAACTACATTAAGCCCAGGCACCGGTGTTATACTCTGCCAGTGGTTCTAAATCTACTGCTAGTTCTTTTTGATTTGATTATAGTTACCACTTGTTACTGCATAATTAATGGTTTATTAAGAGCTAGAGCAGCTGGCTCTGATGAATCAATACGATTTTGAGCTGAAGCCTCAGACACATCTAATGTAATCAAGTGGACCAAAGGTGACACAGGAATGGATTTTCACTCTTTCCATCCCACTCCCACAAAAAAATCTTCCAATCCCATGACAGGGTTAAAATAAATAAATGTATATTGTCCTGTCCCAACACCGGAAGAAAGAATCCCGTCCCATGTTTATTCATACTAGAACCGCATATTTACACATAAAAACTAGAGATGCACCAATTTCCTGGCCGACTGTGATTTTCTTTACATACAAACATTTTGGCAACTTTTCTTGAATGAAAAAAATCTAATGTATATTTGGAATTTATGAATATTGTGTAAATAGTATATATATATATATACATATATACATATATATATACATACACATATATACATATATATATACATACACAGTATAGTCAACTCTATCTAAAACTATGTTTTTATGTATTTATCGTTACAAAACTATGAGTCAGGATCTATTTACATGAATGTAAAGGTGTGTGTATTATATTATATTAAAGGGGCATAGCACCTAGCTTAAGAACTCAAATATGTCACTTCCTTGTCTCCTAAAATGTACGTTCCAAAATTACAACAGAGCTGCATTGTGAATAACTTTGTTGTAGTTCAAGTTTGCTTTTGACGTATAACTTTAAAATGAGTCTATGGAAGTGTACGGAGAGTCATGGATTTTCATCCAGGACACTGCTGTTTGTGTCCCGTGTGAATAAACTACTTTTGTTACCTAAAAATAACCAAGTAGTTCCGTAGCGTTTCTTATTTATTCTGTTTAACCACGTGTTTCAAATTTTTTTTTACTATTTGGAGTGGAATAAAATGTTTCTCCAACTGACTGCGCACGGAGCAAGAAACCCCTGTACTGTCCACAGAAGAGATGTATAATAAGAGTGTTGGGAGGCGGGGCGCCTCGTTCCTGTTCCTATGAAAGTTCCTCAGAGTAGCAAAAATAAATTAACTTCTAAATATAAAATTACATAAATCTTCTCGCGAGCTCCCACATCCATGGACTCATAGAGCATAGAGCGTACTAGCGTTTCCAGGCGGCAACCTACGGTTCTGAAGAGTGAAGCCGATGCAGAAGTGTCTTAAAATTTGCATTCTCTCTACTGACCAGCAGGGGGTGACTCCGGTTGCAAAGAGAAGTCGGATTGTATAGAAGTCTATGAGGAAATGACTACTTCTCTCTTGATTTATTACCTCAGTAAACATTGTAAACATGAGTTTATGGTCTTAATCTATAGTTTCAAGTCTTCTTCAATACAGCATGATGTTCATTTAGTAAATTATGGTCCATTTAGAGTCAAATAGACCAGTGGTCCCCAACCACCGGGCGTGGATCATTTGGTACCGGGCCGCACAGAAAGAATAAATATTATATTATTTCCGTTTTATTGATTATCAGAGTCTGAAAGAAGTTTTATTTTGAAAAATGACCGGATTCTCTCGCAATTTCATCCGCCTGTGCCTCTTGACACAGGTCAAGACTGTCTCGGTCACATGATACGTTACCTCAAAAGTTAAGCCCGCAAACTAGCGAAAATGAGTAAATAACTTTTGGAGAGCTTCTTTGCAAAGGGAGAAAGGCCACTAAGGAGACAGAAGAAGAGCTACAACTTCCAATAATATGAAAGCTTCATTTAACAGACATCAGGAGTCTGATTAAATATCAGGAGTAATTCTGACGAGCCAAACCCGCTCTGCAGTATATGTGGCGACAAAGGATCCGCTGCTGGAGATTGTAAATGACGGTGGCCTTAAAAGTATGTTTGAGACAACAACTCTGCTGGTGTTTTGGATTAAAATCAAGGCTGAATATCCTGAGCTCGCCACTAAAGCACTGAAAACCCTGCTTCCATTAACAACATCCTCTTTGTGAAGCAGGACGTTCTGCAGTGACAGCAATCGATACAAAATTACGGAGTAGACTGGACATCAGGAACACACTTCGGGTGTCATTGTCTCCCATTAGCCCCAGATGGGACCGTCTCGTTGCAGAGAAACAAGCTCAGAGCTCCCACTGATTCAGCGTTATTGTGAGTTGTATTTATTTATGCATTTTATATTTGTTTTCATGCCGATCGTATCATTTTATTTCGTCGTGTTTTTCCGCCACACCTTGAAGGCCGGTCCGTGAAAATATTGCCTTATATGAAACCGGTCCGTGGTGCTAAACAGGTTGGGGACCTCTGAAATAGACCATAAACCAGGGTTTGCTTTAGGGCGGGCTTACTGTGATTGACAGGTCATTGCCGCTATCAGAGACGTATACGGTGTCTCGTCACTCCTCATTCCAAATATGGTTGCTTCAGTTCATCGGTTGCGAAAAAAACATGACGATGGCCATAAACCAAGGCGGCGACGGCGAATACGCACACCAATGAGTGACGTCACGACGACTACGTCCACTTCTTATATATAGTCTATGGTTCGGCCTCGTTCTCATCGCTTATGCTTTTTATTCACATGAAGGAAGGAAAATAAATGGATTTGCTATTAATGCATTTTACAACTCTTATGCCATAACGATGTAATTAAGGGCTATTCAATTTGATTTAGCTAAAAAAAAAAACTAATGCAAGTTGACGGATCCGGAAGTTGAAATTCCACCGTTTGGCCACTGTATAAATTTTGCCTTAAAGCCCGGGGCTTAGAGATTTTGCAACACTGTGGCAATAAGCATTGTGTGGCACATGCATGCAACACTGACAGGAACAGCCTCCGCTATATAAGTGACTGATCCGATCCATCGGTGCATCTACCTAAGTATTTTTTCCCCTGTCATGTGATGAATAGTGAAAGTGACTCCCATTTTGCCGGAAAAAAAGGTCAGCCTATATGTACAACGTTAGGGCTGAAAGTGAGTTTGTTTAAAACCGTGTCAGTGTCGAGGACGGAGAAGACTCTCCGAGTGTCTCGGAGCAGAAGAGCCGACATTGACAGGGAGTAAGGTGTTATTACTGGAACACAGAAATGACAGAACAGGACACACAGGCTTCCTCACACTTTTCCATGATAAAAAAAAAGTGAATGCCGCTACTACACAGAGGAAATAATTCAATGATAACAAAAAGAAAAAGGGGACACGATGGCTATAGGCTAGTAAACATCTGGTGTGTGTCCGCAGTCTATTCGACAAATTAAAAAGTACTACAACACCTGATTTCAGGATGGTTTTGGAACATCTCCACCACATTTAATTTGCTTTCTCTTTTTTTCTCTTTTTTTTTTTCATCGTTTGTTGTTTTTTGTGAAAGAAAAAAAAAAAAAAAAAAAAACGAAACAAAATAAAGATAACAAAAAAGGTTAATCCTACAAAGACTTTTTTTCCCCCTCAGCACTCTTAAAACTTTTCTAACTCGTAATATTTTCAAGTCCGATAGTTGTGACACTGGAAGCAATGCATACGTGTGTCAGTCCTCTCTCCGCGACTGATAAAAGGGGGAAGAGGGTGTCGGGGGCGTGATATGTCGGAGGGCATACATGGTGAACAGACAAGTGTTGGTGGGGGGGGGGGGGGGGGGGGTCGGACTTGCCTCCCACGCCACGACGTTGAAGTCTCTTCGTCTTGAAGGAGGTCGGGAGGAAGGGGGTGGGGGAGGTTGGTAAGGATGTAAACTGGAACGCTGCCAATCCAGCACAGCTTCACTCACTCCGTGAGGATCACGTGGGGATCATTGGTCCTTACCGGTTTGTTGTCAGAATCTCCCCCCCCCCTCCAACTGTGCCGGAGGTATCTGGCCGGGGAGGAGCTGCTGATATGTCCACAAGGATAAAAAGAAAAGAAAAACTGGGCGTTTTGGGTGAAGAGAACCGTGCGATGGGAGCAGCAGGTTTACAGCTCTAGCTTAAAATAAGACAGTTTCTTTTTGGCGAGTTTCTCCCACTGGTCACCTTCCGTGTTGAAATTCTCTCTCAAGCTATCGCAACTGGCACTTTTTTTGTATGCACAACTAAAAGGCAACAAAAAGAAAAGCTCTTCGACTCGGGAGCTCTTGGTGTGGCCTTTCAGAACGGCTATGCACACTTCCCTTTTAGACACGATCGTACGTGATACGACCTGCTCGAAGCCTTAAACCTGCTGCGAAAGTGAGAGAATGAGAACATGTAGCGCATTTTAAGATGCTTGTTTGCCATCAAAACCCAAAGTGAATTTCAGTGAGTCTGGTACAGATTTATCTCGGTGGTCATAGCCGAGCTCTGACGAAAAATACACCTTCCGACAACTCCTTTTATTCATTTCTCTTAAGAGCAGATTAAAAATGTCCCCTGGCTTTTTGGTCAGTTTTGGAGGGTGCTCAAACTAGCAGCTCTTCTATGACAAGACACTGCGTGTTAGTGAAAAAACCTCCGGCAAACTGGTCCGTAAACTTATCATTTTTAAAGTTTTATTTTTACATTTTAATAGTTTTTATGTAAAGTCCAACTAAGACAGGTGTGTTTTTTAACTTTAGCTTTTCCCCTGCTTCTGGCCTTTGAGCTAGGCTAATATCGCGGGAATGCGTAAGATGTGCGAGCACATTTAAAGCTGCGCTGATCAATATTTGGATTTTTAACGACGGATCGATTGTGTAGTGTGAACGGTGTCAACCGACTGCTTTTTACGCGTGGACAAACGACAAATCGTGCAGCTTATGTTTTCAAACGAGGTCGACTATCATCTGACGTGTTGTGCGCTAACATGCTAGCACGGAGCCCACTTCCTGTCAGTTGTAGTGTACGCCGAGGTGTTGGCAAAGAGGACTGGAACCTAAAAATCTACAGCGGACGAGACGAATGCAGCGCTTTATCTCTTTGCTCAGCACGGAAGGTGACCGGTGTGCCATTCTCCCAAAACTTGATGCTTGCATCCACACCACTGCTTTAAAGTGGAACGTCACTTGTTTTGTACAAGTCACAAAAAATTATAAAAAGCATATTTTCCGTACTCTTTTGGGTGCTCTGGCTTCAGTTTTCTGATATCTCCTCCTAAAACCCAACTGTCTGCATATCGGGGTGAAAAAAAATCACTTGTGATTTGTCTCGCGTGAGTCCGTCTCTTGAGGAAAGTGCGGCGGGGCCCTTGAGGACTGGATCAGATATGAGAAGCCTACATGGCAGCCCAGAGACGAGCATTGATGATGTCGATGATGTCGATGATAATGGCGCCCTGCTGTACAAATGAAACGCTTTAGTGTAGATGTGGTGTGGAGAACTGTAGGAACGGACTGGTGCTGGGATCTGGCAGCGAGTTGAGTCTCAGGGTACAAAGGGGTTTGAAGAAACACTTCGGAGGTCATTATGACACCAAAAAAAACAAGACGTTAAAAAAACGATAAAGGAGGGGAAGTGGAGGGACTCAGATACATGTTGAAGGGAGGAGGGGATAGATCAGAACAGCTGTGCATCTCAGCTGTGCACAAGTTGAAGTCCCAATGGATCCGAGGAGGGAGGGGTTATGAGGTTTCGTCTGTCAGCGAGACAAAAGAGTCTGGACGGATACGAGAGCGTTCGACCGTTCATATAGTGATGGACTGAACAAAGTAGAATGAGGGGGACGAACAAGGGGAGGCAGTGCCAGCACAGCACTGGTTTTGGTATATCGGTTTTGGCTGCGGTCGGTGCGTCGGTCGGGGCTGGAGGGTCGGGGGGGCTGGGAATCTCTTGTCATGCGGGGGCGGGGCGGTCGAAGGGGTCTCCGCGAGGTCCTCGCCTTAACTGCCGTAATGCATGGTGTTGCTGGGGATGACCATCGGCGAGGCCATGGAGATTGCGGCGCCCCCCATGGTGAACTGGTTGGTGATGGGATAGTAAGTACCGCTGCTGCTGGGACCCGACTGGCCCGTGGTGGCTCCTGGGGGAGGACAAACAAAGCATGATGGCGTTTCCAACTGGAGGTGGTCCATTTCTGTGAGGCAGCCTGATGCGTTTCTCTACTGTGGTGTTTGTTTAAATAAAGTGTTAAGAGGACGTACCCTGGACAATTCCTGTGCTCATGATGGAGCCCATCCTGGAGTGGGTGTGGTTTACAATTCCGGTGTTCACTGTGACCAATCAGAGAGGGGAGAGCACAGTTAATGATACGTGCAGCGCTTCAACACATTTTAGCTTCCTGTTTTTAGCTACAAAACAAAATGGTGGGAGCCCTTAAGAGCCCCTCACACAACACAAGAGTAGTTCAGCCAATCAGACGGCAGAGAGGCTGTCGAAAACACCTTCACGTGTAAGTGTGGTCGCTGTGGGAAACATTTGAAAAAGCTGAAACACTGTCGGAGCTGTTAAAATGGGAAGTGGAAACTGAAGCCCTGAAAGGAGTTGAAGTGTAGGGGGTAAAGTGGGAGTGGGAGGTGTCAGTTTACGTGAAAATGCCGAGGAGTGCCAGTTCAAGTGAATAAACTGAAAGATGGTGTCCGTGTTGCCCGGTGTACCGATGCTAGATCTCAATACCCAAAGCAGACACCTTTAATCGTTAGTGAGAGAACATCCGGCTGGCCAGGATTACTTCTGTTGTGCATCTTGTTACATTGCTAAATGCCACTCTTACAAACCATTAATGTTTGTGCATATTCCCAGAGATAAGGTGCATTCCTTAAGTATGCGATTCCATTTCCTCAGTGGATAGTTTAAGTAATCTTTTTATATTCCATCCAGGCATTAAAACCCTTCTTCTCACCAGACACCACCGTCTTTCTGATCACCGTGAAATGGAAAGAAAGGAAAAGCAGCCCACCGAGAGTAAGAGCCGCTCCCACACAAACACTTGTAACATGTTAAAAAAAATGATTAATTCAGAAGTATCAGACTGACCGCCGACCGATTGGTGCATCTCTAGCAGCGAGATAATTAGCCATGGTATTGTATCAAAGTCGTAATTCTGGTATCGTAAGAACACTGGTTAGGAGTACATTCAGGGTGACCAGAGAAAATTAGAAGAGCTGATGTCGTTTTTTGTTTTTTTGTCATTCAAAAAGGCCAAAAACCTGAGACAAAAGATTTGAAGTGTGATTTGAAGTGTTAGCATTAAAATGAGTTGAAATGTCAACCGAAGAGCAAGAGTAAGAGATGAAAGAGGTTGAAATGTCATTAAAAGTTCAAAGGGAGGAAGCATATACTGCAAGAGTTATTTGTGGAAAAATGTAATTATCAAATTATAAACACCGTCAACTACTGAGTTACACAAACGCATTGTTAAACTGTTGATTTGTAACATTACACATTTGACATTCATCAATCTGACACTAAACATCAAGTAGAAAAGGCGTTGAAACACTACTCCACTTCACTTGTCATGAGCTCACATATGTCGCCACATTTCTACAGAACACAGGTGGGAGAAAATGTTTGGTTAGCCATTGTTTTCTCCATGATACATACAGTGCTGCAGAGCTGACTGGAGACCAGAATACTTCTGTTCAAACCGCCAGTCTGCAACGTCATGCTGCGCTGCAGACCCTCTCTCAGTCGCTCTGCGCTGTGCTCCCCACTACGTTAAGTACCATGAGATGTTGAGAAGTCGGGGGGAGTGCGATTCGTACCGAGGGGGATGAGGTTGTTGTGAGACACCGCCGGGCCGCTGCCAATGACTGTGCTGAGGTCATAAGCTGCAGGCATCCCTACAGGGGGGGAGACACAAAAAACATAATCATCAACACGTACTACAAAGAAGTCATCAGATTCAGCGTTCTCAGTAAATATAGCTCTTCTTAGTGCAGGGCCTGGTGACACCATGTGACTTGGGAGAGGGGGAGGGAGAGGGAGGGGCAGACCTCGCAGAGTGTCCGTACCGTCTCCCATCACGTTTGTTGAGGACGGGTTCTTGAATGCAGTTTTCAGCACTGCTCAGCAGGTGTTACTGAATCCATGCGGAGGGATGGGATGGCAACTGCTGGTTTGCAACATGGCAAACATGGTTATTAATGTTTCAAAATTCTGATTCAGAATACCTTGTGTTTTGCATTTGTCCGTATGACCTGTAGATTGTTTGCAGTGTTACTTTAAAGTTACCGTGAGGAACTTTAATGCTGATGCCGCTGTATGACCTACATGAGTAAACGAGACCATCAGCGAGCACATCGCCTATTTCTCTCTCATTATTCTTAATGCTCGTCATCGAAATGATGCAGGTTCACAATAAACTCCTCAAACTCAGACTCCAGCGGAGCCAGCGACAAGCCTGCCGTGGACGGACCCAGATCCAGCTTTGCCACTGTCTTGGACCTGCAGTTGGAGCTCCAGAGGGGAACCAGAACCAGGACTGAGCGGGGCAGACTGTCAGACCCTGCTGCAGTAAAACCAGAGGTTTTCTAAAGAGAGCCTGGTGCTTGGTGACACTAAACCTTTTAGTCCCACAGGGGCTGCCAAAAGCAATAGTGTAGCTTTTTGAATCATGTCATTAGAAAATGTTCTTGTTTGGGAAAACAAGGCAGAACCTAAAGCCGAGGCCTTAAAGGTTTTCACAAGTTCAGGTTATGAGTTAAGAGACACACACACACACACACACACACACACACACACACACACACACACACACACACACACACACACACACACACACGTCATATAATTAGAATATCATCAAAAAGTTGATTTATTTCACCAATTCCATTCAAAAAGTGAAACTTGTCTATTATATTCATTCATTACA